CGCTTGCCTTCAGAACATGTCTGAGGTTGTCTGGAAATGTCTACCTGTAGGTTACAATCACTACACTCAGCTGGAGTATCACAGTGTAGCTGAAGGTTTGACTGAAGGACAGAGGACACTCAGGACAGTTGCACTGACCTTGAAAATGTTGGGTTTTTTTCAGATTTTTCAAAGTTGTTTTTCTCATTTTAGTCTGTCATAATTCTGAAGCTTTTTTTTATCATATTCTAACACCTAGAAAAAGAACTTACAGCATTATTGTGGTCAAAAATATAAAAGGATCATATTTAAGATATGTCCTTTGTAATTTGACCATAAAACTTTCAAGTTAAAGAGTATTTTTGAACATGCCTGGGGCTAAAAGTTCTACATTGACTAAAACTTTAACTGTAAAAAAGGTAATATGTTGTCTTGTTTTGCATCTTAGAGGCAACATATGCCATTGCGATCATCATTGATCAACTTGAATCAACAAGTCTGTCTTGGCTTTGTAAACAATATTACTAGTCTAAAAAAGACTATATATGCGCAAAATTTGCACTGTAGAGAAAATGTAAATACATTTTTCTTGTACTGCTGTTAGGGACTAGTTGAAAGTGATTTTTCTTTTTTTCAATGGATTCTGAAAAGGACTGCCAAGAGCAATTTGTGTCTGACATAAAAAATAATTGCGGTTGGATGATAGCAGTGAAAGACAGGAGCTGACAGAAAGAGAGAGGAGGTATAATTTGTCTGACTCAGCTCTGGGGTAAAGAGATTCCTGAGAGGAACATCACTCCTGCTGCTGATTTCAGTTTTCAGGCTGCCTAAAGCAATGTTTCACGAGTAAAATGACTTTTCAAAGATGACTAACATTCTCAAGTGAATCCTGTTTGTATCACTTTTGCAAAACCAATTATAATACCATGACTAAAACCTGCTCAGTCTTGGCGATCTTTAAGTTAAATTAATGTAAACCATAAATAAATAAATAAAAACACAGGCAGAGGGCAGTAATTATTCAGATTAACATGTGCTTAACACTATAGAGCTCCACTGGAAATCACGGCATTCTCTTATTTTACTCATTTAATACATTTCATGTCAGTTTTAACACCAATCACTATAATCACATAAAAACAGTCAATAATAATATCACCAATAATAATAAAATACGTCGACATGCGCTATTATTATTATTATTATTAAATGCATTTTTTTGCATCTTTTGCTGGAAGCAGTCTTACCTTCGGGTCAGTGGGACGATAGACCGCTGCTGCAGGGAAACCAGTCTGCAGACTTGCTGGTGGCAACAAAAACAGTGCAGAGTGGACACAGGAGTCCCGCTGATTACAGGAGGCTGCCCGGGTATTGGCACGTCCTCCTGGGGCTGCACTGTTTTATACTATCAAGTTCAGCTCGCTGCTGTCGACACCTCAGCTGAGCTCTGCAGGAAGTCACAAGCACAGATACCTGTCAGCAGCAGCAGAGATGGGGAGGGGGGAGGGGGGTGTTCAAGTCCAGGATAGATCCAGATAGAACCTGCTGTGCATCATTTAAAATTTAAAATTACTTTTTTTTTTTTAATAAGGCATGGCGCGATAAAATATTTTAAAGATCCGATTACATATAAATACAGTGTATCAAACCACTAGTTTAAAAATATAAAAATATAAAAATAATGGATGGATAGAAGGATGGAAGGATGGATGGATAGGAAGGTGGTGAGTTCATAATTTCTTGGTCAAACCACTTCAGGTCCCTGAAACCACGTCATCGTCAGAGACTTCTTCACAGAAGCGACTGATCTTAAACTTCTCTCTGTAATTAGGTTTCTGTCTCACAAACAACAAATCCACGGCATGTTTAAAACCATTTGACACGTTTTCACTCAATCCTCCAACTGAATGTATCCTGTTGTCAGCTACTGCCCCTTTGTGGTTTGTTTATGTTACTGCACTGTGTAGACGGTGAGCTGAAGAGTAAAATAAGTCATAACAACAATCTTAATAATATAGGAACGTTATGCGTCATAATCACTATACGAAACATGTTATGTGTGTAATTCCTTGCTAATTAGGTGGAGAATGTTGTTGCGATATGTGGTCAAAACGTGGAACTGTCCCATAAAACCTGAACACAACAAAAATTAAAAACAACACTATAAACATAAATGAATTAAGCATTTATGGAAAGCAAACAAAACAGATAAAAAGAATCATCACGGAAGCAGCACATGGATTTATGACAGCCAATTGGAAAGTCTTGCGATTTTGACAGGACTGGAAATGAAAGCCAATCAGAAGTGAGAGAGGGCGGGATTTGTGATGTTTTGCTGCACTTCCGCTGAAGCAGCGTCCAAAAATCAATACATCAAGTGAAGGCAAGGTTAAAAAGTGAAGCAGGAAGCGACGATTCAAGAAGTAATGTTGAGTCATATTTACATAACCAAATTTGTTCCGAAAAACATTCAAGCGCCATTTGCGTTTATTGGGATTTTAGTAAAGTAAATTAAATATGTGTTGTTGTGATTCGAAGGGAACCAGTCAGACCTGCCGCAGCTCACAAGACCGAGACATGTGATATCGATTAGAACAACTCCCTGCTGCCGCCGCAGATACTGACAACACGGTTCGTTCATGTAAGTCTCCAGTGTTTCCTCCTTTCCTTTGTCTCTGTATAAAACGTTTTATCAAAAGAAAAACCGTTGTAAAAAGTTTTAATGCATTTGTTTTGGTCTCGTTGTGACTGTGCGCGTTACAGTTAAATTGATCGAAGTATCACTGCAAACAGATGATTTGATGTTCTGACCCTGTTTTATTTCAGTGGAAGAACAAATGTGCTAACAAACAGTTACGTAGTCGACCAGTTAATGACAAATCAACTAAAAAAAAATCCTAAATGATTTATAGCGTTAAAGATATCATTGGTTTCAAGTACCAAATATGTAATTAACGTAATTAGACAACATGTGTAGATGCTAAGAAAATGATGTTAAATTGCAATCACGTCAAAGTTTCTCAAATATTTCATGTCAGTGGACCACATGAAACTGATTTGGGTTTTTTTATGGCAGTTCAGTCCTGATGGATGAACCTTCCAAGAAACATGTAAACACTGAGGATATGTTCCTGGATTTGTAGCGGTTGTAGCAGAAGAAGTCAACATCCAGCTGCTAATGGACTCTTGACTGACAGAAGCAAGTTCTGACAAGGCTGACCAAACATGGTGCATGTGTATAACTGCCACCCATTTGCTTCACAGCAGATTGTGCAGGTTTGTAGGCATTTGAATTAATTGCAAAACTTGTAATATTTTTGTTTTATTATTTTTGATCAATTGTTATCTCTGGGTCTTAGGTGGAGCAGGAGCCTGGATTGTTTTGTTCTGGAGGTGGGGCTCTCTTTGTGGTGGTTACAGGAGGATGCAAGGTGGTCTTCAACTCTGCTTGTTAATGATAACCTTCTGATTGAATATGAATGAAGACCCTGTAGTGGTCACAATGTTTGCATGGAATTTCTTTCAATTGTTGTCATGTGATGACACATGGTTGCAGAGACAAAGCCTTCAGTGAGCTTTACTTTTACACATGAACCTATTGTTTTGCTAATGAATAACCCTGCATAAAAGTTACTTGTATGAACTGGTTGAACTGAATATGAACCTTCAATTGAAGCATTTATTTTAATTAAGTTTTATATTTAACAAAAATAATTGATGTCAGTTATTAAAATACAACAGTGATAAGAGGCTTTGTGTTCTGTACTCCAACCAAGGTGGAGGCCTACAATCTGGAGCAGGAGGGCTGTCCACTCATCTGCCGATTTGGCACTATGGGCACAGTGAGAAACATCCAATACAGCAAAATTGGTAAAAAAAAAAAAAAGAGTTCCTCTCAAACCTTGGTGTGATGGTCCTGTCCTGCAGAATGTACTCACTCAGGTTTTCCCTCCCATTGCCTCTCTCTCATCTCCTCTCAGGAGACTACCTGGTGACCATTGAAGAAAAAAACAGCGCCACCTACCTGAGAGCCTACACTAACTGGAGATACCAGGTACAGTGATGTAGAAACTCATACCTAGAAAACCTACTAGAAAAAAATATCTGGTACTCCTAGAAAGGCACTGATTTTCCTGTACTGATAAAATACATATATATGTTGCAATGAATAATACTTGCAAATGTGTTATATTTATATTTATTTTAATAATACACATTTGTCTTCTACCTATGCATGATATGTATCACTTTATTTCCAGGCTGAAGAGAGATCCCGTGTTGGGGTGCGTTTGTTGGGCCACCTGCTGCGTGGAGCATCTCAGCGGGGTGGAGCTCAGATGGAGATCATTGAAATCCCTCTCTCGGAGCGTCCCGTCAGTGTGGCCTGCTGCTCTGTCACCGGAGACCTGCTGGTCGGCTGCGAGAACACTTTGGTTTTGTTTACTTTACGGAGACAGAACCAAGAGAACCTGGTACCTGAGTTCAGTTTCCTCAGCAAAGATCAATATCCACATTCTAAGATAAAAAACATGTTGTTTTTTTTTGGTGTTTTTTTGTTGACAACTAACAGCAGAATCAGAGTCAGCAGAATGTCCAGAGCTCCTCCTCCTTAAACTCTCAGCAGACTTTTGGTCAGAGTGAAGGTAAGAAATGAAAAGTGACACGTATCGTCCTCTGAAGTGAGAACACGACTCCTCTTTAATTGATCTGACCTTTCACCTTTTCATGCCCACAGGTCACTCCTCAAGTTCAGACCACAGTGTCTCCATCCTGGACTTCGAACGCTCAGTCATCATGCATATTCCCAACTTTACACCTAAGAAGGCACTGAAGTTAATATTCTGTTTTAGAGCTAAAACTATAAACACGGAAATGTTAGCAAAATATTCAAAATATTGTAATTTTGAATAATCTAGTAATTAAAGTTGACAGCAATGCACTGCTGAATAGCAACAATGGTAAATTAAGTAGCTTAATAATAACAACTTTTACTAAAATTGTGTTTTTCAATCAAGGGTAACGGCCCCACGAGTTTCTGGAAATTGATTAATTTGAATTAGCAATTAAAAATACTTTTACAACAAATTTTTATTCTTTTTAAATTATGATTAAAAGCACCACAGACAATCTTAAATAACTATAGTCTTTTAATTTCATGAAAATAAATTGCGTTCAAATAAAATGCAGAATATAAAGAATATAATATGTATATAAATATCTGAGCTAGCGCTATTGCATGTTATTTGTTTCTGTGTGTGTAACAGCTTTTGTGTGTGTTCCTTAGGTGGCGCTGTGTTCAGGATATGTGGCAGTGCAGACGGAGCTGGAGGCGCTGGTGTTAAAACTGAACACATCTGAATCTGACGCTCTGGACGAGTCTTGTGACATGAGTAAGAGTAAGTAATGTCGGACAAAAATATTCTTAGGAGGAAACAGGTTTGAGTTCCTAACGTGTATGTGTGTGTTTGTTTGTCCCTGCAGCAGATCTGCTGGAGGACCAGAGTGACCTTCTCCTCATCCCGAGGCAGCAGGAGTTACTGGGGAGTCAGGCCAAAAACTGTGACGTCCCAGTCAGCATTGAGAAGACGGGGCTGGAGGACAAGGGACAGTACAAACTGTCATATGTGCTTTTTAGGTCTGGTTGTAATTTAAAGTTTGTTGTTTTGTTATATTCCGTATGTAACATTCAGGTGTAACTGTATGGTTTTTTTCCTCCAGGCGTTTTACTCCAGAGTTTTTCACGGGCTGCAGTGTTGAGGAGACGCAGCTTCACTCCATGCAACTTCACCCACTTTTCACCAGTAAGTACCAAACCTGACACTCAGACTTGACTTTGTCACTGTTTTTATGTCATGATAACTGAGAAAAGTAAAAAAATTATAATAAATATTATATAATAATGATATATATATTTTTTGTTGACCAGGTAACCAGTCAACATCCACAGAAGAACCAGCCTGTGTCTTCTGCTTCTTCTCCCTCCCCAGTGCTGGTTATCTGTACAGTCTGAAGAACGGAGTTGAGTTGCTCTCAGCCTATCAGTATCCAGAGAGAGTCCTGGAGGCGGTGCTAACAGACCACCTGCTGCATGTTATAACTAAGTACGCACCTCAGCCTAACAATGTCAAAGTGTTTATTTGCAAAAACAGCACAGGAAATTATGGTCAAGAAAGAAAGAGGAAAAAATCCTACTATTGTTGTTTTTTTTCCCATATCAATTTAAAAGGTGTTTGACACATTTTTGACTCTGATAATTATTAATACTGAAGTCCAATATGTAAAACTCTGGTACAGTTTGATGTAATATTAGGTTTTATGTTGTATGATGAATTGTCAGATAATGACAGAATGATATTTGTCTTTGATTCTAACAGAAATGCGTTGCAGTGTTTTACTGTGCGCTGTGCAGCGGTTGCAGCCAGGATTGAAGAGCCATACATTGACACCACCATGAAGGTAACGGCCTGAGTGTTACTGCTGTTATTTACAGTCATGTGTGTGTTCAACATCATGTTCCTGCTGGTGTGTGTGTGTGTGCGTGTGTGTTCTTTAAGGCCTGTCCACCCAGCAGTCTGGAGGTGTGTGCTCTCAGGATGCAGCTGTTTATTGGCCTTCGCTCTGTGTGTGTCCACGGTCCTCATGTCATCCTCCTGTCCACGGCGGACACCCAGACACAGGAAGAACCTGAACGCGTCCAGCAGCGCAGGGGACTGTAAGTCACAATGTTCAGACTCTGAAGTTCCCACAGTCATCAAAGAACAAGAGGAGTAACACAAAATGTCCCATCTCTACTGATGACCCTGAAGGCACCAGGCATCATCATATTATTTTGAACAAATCAGATTGTGGAGTTTGTGTATGTTGTGCTTTTTTAGCCATTTGAAAGAACACACCACGCTGGCTGGTATTTTCCTGGCCGTGGGAATCGATCCCACTACCACTCCGGCTCTGGAGAGCTTTCTGTCACGCCCCTTCCTGTAAGACAACCCTTACCTCCCCCACCCACCCACCCACGCCTCTGTTGTCTATTTGGACCAAGATGGAACACCAGATAAAACCTCAGCTCACTGAGATTCAAATACTTTAATTAGCTATATTTTTGGATTTAACACAAAATAAAACAAATCCTTTCAGGGTACATTTTTTAAACACTTGTTTTGTATGTAAGTGCAAGTGTAACCAGTATTGCTACTTGTATTTAAAAGTGGTCATTATTCTGAAATGGATCAGAACTGTGACCAATTTCTGTGGCAACAATACAGGTGTAACATTTCAGTCTTACTGAGTTTGTCTATTTTTAGAAAATGGTACAGAATTTAAATTGTCGGTTTTCCACATACAGATCATTGTGGCCAACATTGACGCCACCAATTAGTGTCAGCAGGACTGTCATAAATGACAATAAATAAATAAATAAATGGAGTCTTTTTTAAAATAGCCTTTTCTGAAGATTTTTTTTTCTGACTTTGCAGCTTGGTCCAAAGGTGACATCACTTCCTGATCCTGTCCCTGAGTGGATACACCCCTAACGTCTCTAACAGTCCACAGTGTGTGACTTTCTGCTCACAAACTTATCCTGTTTGCAGTGGATTTAACAATGTTGAATTATTTGTTTTTTTGGGAACTATTTTCCAGCTTATATGAAAATGATGGTGGTTTCCCAAAGAAACCATTCATATACACGCATGTCACATGACCTACATGAATGCCTGAATTAGGTCCTTCTCCGTGTGTGTATATGTAATGTCCGTATTATCAACTGATAGTGAAGACTTCATTCATATATTTACATTAAAATAACATCAAATACCTAGAAAAAACAATTAAACTATCCATTCAAAAAATAAAGGCTGAGGTTCTGGTCAGCTTTTGAGCAAATATTTGTATTAATTTAATAAATATATGAATAATAAAGTGCTCAGTTCAAACAATAAAATGCATTGGCAATTTATTATGGTGCCCATAGGCATCATTTTTCAGCCTCGTTAGGATGTTAATAACTATTCATATATATATATATATATATATTTATTTGGACACATTACAAAGTTTTAGTTGCAGTATTTCTTTGTTTTCTTATCAAGGCTTCTCTAGCAGGTAGCGCCATAGATGATGTGGACAATCCTAAGAGTTGGCTGTGTTTACTGTACACTCTGAGAAGATGACACAGTTGTCTGTGATGCTTTGACTCTGACACATATAAAGAAGTCAGAGAGAAGCCTCATGTGACACAGACTACATTTGTTGATTCTTCCTGTTTGAATTATTTCTCTCAGAGCCAGGAGATGGACAACGTCGCCCCCCAAAGAAAGCACCCCAACCGGACACGGCTGGAACCTCTATGTGGTGGACACCGTCTCCCCCCTGACTCTTTACAATGAGATGGTAACAAAACACTGTCACTTCATGTTTTTACTTAATTTAAAACTGTAAATAAATCATGGATCCTGAGCTAAGGTGGAAGCAAAGGCTTAGAGACAGTGGCTGAACTGTAGGTGGCAGTGTTGAAGATGTTGAGTGACCAGGGTGTCCATCGTCTGTTTGTGTGTGTCAGGTTGAGTACAGTCGACAATACGCTGAAACCAACCCTTCAGCCCAGAGCCTTCGACACCTCCTCAGTGAAGCTCACCTCCTCCTGTGCTCCTCCCTGCTGCAAACAACAGAGCAGACTCACAGAAAAGACCTGGAGGAGGCGCTCAGGGAGAACTGTGCTCAGCTGGGAGACTGCTTCAGCAGGTACATGGACGACTTGACTGTTGTTACAAAAAATAAGATTAGAGATTATTAGATGGAGCAAAAAAAATTTACATTTCCAAAGCTAATTACCAGACCTTGTTATTTTTTGTTTGCTTGTTTTATTTAAGCAATGAATTGATGAATAAAATATAATGTAATTTTTTTTTATTTTTTGGCAGTAAGGTGTGTGATGTTTCCACTGAACAGATGAATAGTGAATAAACACAAAAAGAAAGGGCTTTAAAGGGTTTGACCCTGCTGTGATTGTGTGCATCAAGGTCAGGTGATTAAGAAGAGAGAAGGAAATGCTTTAGCTTGTGAAGAGAGGGCTAAAAATAAAAGTAATTTTTGAAGCTGACAAATAAGAAAAATGAAAAGGAAATGTCAAGACAGATTGAACGTGATGATAATGTTGGAGTGAAAAAGAATATTATGGTTTTTTTTTCCCTGTCTTTTTTTAGGTCGAGTCAGAAAGATTGTCACCTGGCCTTACCTTACTACAGGATGTCTGGTCTGTCAGTCACAGAGGTGATCGCCAGAAACCGCCCACTTCCCAGCAGCCCTCACTCATATGGCCTTGGCTTTCTGTTTTATCTGAATCATTACCTGTTGGAAGAAACTGAAGAAATCCTCAGTCAGGTACAGAGTTGCTGGATAAAATACTTTGGATTGTTTTCAGGAAGAAATTTGAATCCACTGTCATGCTAACCACTAAAAATGTAATTAATACTCTCTTGAAAAGTGGTTCTCAACCTATCTACTCTACTTGACTTGATTTCAGAAACACAGTCACACATGTCACACATGTACCACAGTTTTAGAACCACTGCTGTTTTATATATATATATTGTAAAGTATTTTTAAAATCGGAAAACTTTGTTTCTACAGGAGTCAGCTGATGAGGTCATCGACATTTTCAGCCAATCAGAGTCCTCAGCGCTCATTAGCGTATGTGCCAGCCCGTCCATGATCAACATCAGCGCTGATAGGACGCTGCAGGTTTTACATCGCCTGGAAGACACAGCAGGTGTCTCTGTTCCGCTGACCATCACCATGGCAACTCTGGCGCTGCGATTAGACGACCTGCAGCAGTTCATGCAGCTGTTGGATAGACACGCTGAGGTGAGTGCAGAATGAAGTCTCTTAGTGGTGGGATTAAAGAAACCAATTCAATAAATTGAAGGAATTTGAATGAATTAGCTTCTTTAATTAAACAAGCATAATTGTGTCATTTTTTGGGCTGGCAAATGAACTGTAGGTGAGTTACTGCCACCTACTGGGCTAAAATGTTACACAGGATGTTAGAAAACTGCAAAGTGTGCAATAAAATGCCATATATTTTAAGAAATAATTTTGTCTATAATTATATAATTTTATATTATATTACATTGTTCCTGAATCCCCCCCCCCCCCCCATCCACCCCTCCTCCCCCCCTCCCGCTCTCCC